AATTGACTTGTATACTGTGTATAATTTTTTGGTTTGTCTTAGATTTTGTTATATAACCAAAAAGTCTAGTTCATACAGTTAAAAGTGACAAATTAAGGGCTAGCTCCATTTGTCATTAAAAAGGGTGTGTCTGATGCTGTTGGTACTACTATAGCCAAAATTGACATAACTGTTCTAAACAACTGTTCATCCTGCTTTTCTATGACTGAGATTAACTAAGGGTCACAGAAAATACTGTGGCACAGTATTAAAGAACCAGGGCCTGGGCCGAATAAGCAACAACTTCTCATCTCCAACTGAAGAGGTAGGATCTTCCAACAGGCTCCAACCCAAAAATCAGCTACACCTGAAAGATACCTCAGAGAAGTAGCCATCACCTTGGGATCCTAAATACTAGCAATAAAGCACCATAGGAAATTTACAAGCATCACACCAGGAATTAAACTAAAAAAAAAAAAAAAGACACTAAAATGCAACCCTAGGCATCAAGTTCAGCAAAGGCAAATCCAGTGGCCAGTGATGTAGAACAATCCAAAATCTCCCATCTGGTTTCCCTGAAGTGGGAAAACAACAGGCAACAGCAAAGCAATTGGATGAGGCTCTTTAAAAAATGAAATTAGAAATATTCTTTCAGATAAACACCATGCTTAGTGATGCTAGAGCAGATATAGACAAAAAATAGATGATTTCAAGAAAATTATGAAATGGAAAACCATATAACTGAGCTTTTTTTTTTTTTTTTTTTTTTTTGTCTTTTTCCTTTTTATCAGTACTGGGGATCGAACTCACGACTGCCTGCTTGCAAGGCAGGCGCTTATGCCGCTGAGCTAAATCCCCAGCCCCTATAACTGAGCTTTTGTTGGATCATTGAATGGAACTGTCTCCAATTTCACTGTACGAATGTCCACTTTATATGCTTTAGTGATATGGACAACTGTTTCTGGGAAGATAATGTGTAAACTATTAACTGGTGATTTCATACTGTATCTATTTTTTTCTTGAAATACTATAATATTTGTACCCTTTTACTGCATTGTTTTTTGTCCTTTCTTTTTTTTTCTTCTCTCTTTAAATTAAAAAAATTATGAAAGATTAGCATATGAAAGAAATGGAATCTATAGAGCAGATTCAAGCAGATATCCAGGAGAATAAAAATTCCAATGAAAGTATTCAAAGCATATGAGGCCAATGTTTGGATAGGATCTCAGATATGGAAGGCTTGTAGTTAGTGGTCAGGAAAAGAAAGACTTCTCAAACATATGGACCATGAGAAATCCATCTAGCAGCTGCTAGATGAGACAAAGAAGTATAACAAGATTGACTGGAGTCAATGAAAAAGTAGGATACACCACAAATGAAAGTTAAAAAATATTCATAGATGCCATGGCAGAAAACTTCCCAGATAGAGAAAAAGAATTTGACATACAGAAAGGCAAGGCATATAGAATTCCAATTAGCCATGATCAAAAAAATTCTACAGCCAGGTATATTACAGTCAAGATTCCAGAAATTCAACATAAAAATAGAATCTTGGGCTTGGGATTTAGCTCAGCAGCAATAGCACCTGCTTTGTAAGCGTGAGGTCATGAGTTAGATTCTCAGTACAAAAAAAAAAAAAGAATAGAATCTTAAATCTATTAGGGAAGAAAACCAAATCACCTATAAAGGAAAACCCATCAGAAGCACAGCTGACTCCTCAGCACAAACTCTCAAAACAAGGAGAACTTGAAGTGAAGTAATCCAAGCTCTGAAGGAAAACAACTTTCAACCCAGATTGATGTATCCTGAAAAACTATCTTTCAAAACTGATGGAGAAATAGGATATTTTCACTTATAATCACCAAACCAGCTCTCCAAAATGTTCTAAAGGACATTCTATAAAGAAATCATAAGGACTATAGCTCTATGAACCCCAACAGAAGGAATCTACCAAGCAAGACAAGCAATTTGAGAGAGAGGGAAAAGGCAAGGGAACAACAGGAAAATAACATGACAAGGATAAGTCAATATATATCAGTTATAACCATCAATGTTAATGGTCACAATTCAACAATCAAAAGACATAGACTGGTAGAATGGATAAAGATGAAAGATCCAACAGTAGGCTGCATTCAAGAAAAGCATTTAATTCAAAAAGAAATTCATTGACTGAAAATCAAAGGATGGAAAACAATACTCCATGTGACAGGAAGCCAGAAAAAAGCAGGGGTTGTTATTCTATTTGCAGACAAAGTGAATTTCAAACCAAGACTAATTAAAAGAGATAAAAAAGGTCATTACATCCTTGTAAAGGGAATAATTCAAGAGGAAGAAATAACAATCATAAATATATATGCACCAAACTATAAAACAATTACTAACAGACATGAAAAATCAAATAAGTCCTAATACAGTTGTATTGGGAGATTTCAACAGCCCATATCACAAAAAGACAGATCAACCAGACAAAAAATTAATAATCAACCAGAACTTAACCAAACTGAATGAATGGACTTAGTAAATGTCTATATAGCATTCCACCTATGACATGAGAATACACATTCTTATCAGCTGCACACAGGACATTCTCCAAAATAGACCATGTACTGAACCATAGAACCTGCTTAAATAAATGCAAAGAAATTCAAATTATGCCATGCATACTATCAGACTACAGTGCAATGAAAGTGGAAATCAATGGCAAAAGTAATCATGAGAATTTCATAGACACATAGAAATTAAATAGCCACCCTGCTGAGCAACAAATGGGTCACAGATAAAATTAAAGAAGAAATTAGACGATTTTTACAGTTGAATGATAACAATGCAACATATCATAACTTAAGGAACACAAAGCAGTTTTAAGAGGAAAATTTATAGCAATAAATACTCATTGAAAAAAACAGAGAAAACATATAAATAATGGAGTGGTGAACCTCAAATTTCTAGGAAAAGATGAGCAGGCTAAGCCAAAAGCTCATAAGAGGTAGGAAATTATAAATACTAGAGCAGAAATTAATGCATTGAAGACTAAAAAAGATACAAACAATCAAAGAGTTGGTTCTTTGAAAGAGTAAATAAAATTGATAAAACCTTAGCCAACCTTATCAGAAGGAAAAAAAAAAAAGAAACAAAGAAAGAAAGAACTCAAATGCACACAATTAGGAAAGAAAAGAGTGAAATCACAACAGACCTTGCAGAAATTCAGAGGATTATTTATACCTACTTTGAAAACTTGTATTCTAATAAGATGAAAAATACAGATGAAATGGATAGATTCCTAGATACATATGAATTACCAAAGCTGACTCAAGAAGATATAAAAATCTGAACCCAGTATCAATAAATGAAGTCAAAGCTGTAATTAACAGCAACAAAGAAAAGCCCAGGCCCTGATGGATTCATGGCTGAATTCTGCAAGAAATATAGAGAATATCCACTACTACCACTACTTTTAAAACTCTTTAATGAAACTGAAAGGAAAGCAATTCATTCATTCCTGGAAGCAAGCATTACCCTTATACCAAAAACTAGAGAAGGAACCAACCAACAAAGAGAATTACAGGTCAGTTTCCTTAATGAACATAGATGCAAAAATCCTGAATAAGACACTGGCAAACAGAATGAAGCAAATCATCAAGAAGATTACACACCATGATTAAGTGGGATTCATTCCAGGGATGTAGGGATGGTTCAGCATACACAAATCAATAAATGTAATACACCATATTTATAGAGCCAAAGACAAAAATCATACAATCATCTCAATAGCTGCCCAAAAAGCTCTTGACAAAGTACAGAACTCATTTATGATAAAAACCCTACAGAAAACTGGGAGTTGTTGGTCTTGATCTCAATCTGATAAAAGCCATCCACAGCCAACATCAACAGGCAATATCATACCAAATGTACAAAAACTGAAAGCTTTCACTCTAAAATCAGGAACAAGACAAGACTGTCCACTGTCTCCACTCTTATTCAACATAGTCCTGGAAACTTTAGCCAGAGCTATTAGACAAGGGAAAGAAATAAAAGGAATAAACACAGGGTAGGAAGAAATTTAACTATCATTATTTGCAGATGACATGATACACTACATAGAAGACCCCAAAAACTCCCCCCCCAAAAAAAACTGGTAAATTTAATAAACAAATTCAATAGCATAGCTGGACACAGAGTCAACACTCAAAAATCAATACCTTTCCTGCACACAAATAATAAACTCATTGAGAGAGAAATCAGGGAAACAACACCTTTCACAATACCATCTGAAAAGAAAAGAAATACCTAAGAATAAATTTAAAGAAGGATGTAAAAGACCTCTACATTGAAAACTAGAATATTCTGAAAAAAGAAATTTGAGAGGATATTAGATTGAACAAGTTTTCTTTCTTTTTTTTTTTTTTTTTTTTTTTTTGGTACCGGGGATCAAACTCACAACCTTGCACTTTACAAGGTAAGCACACTTGAGCCACTGAGCTAAATCCCTGGCCCCTTGAAGAGGATATTAGAAAATGGAGAGAGATCCTGTGCCCTTGAGTAAGAAGAACCAATAGACCGAAAATGGCCATACTTCTAAAACTGTTAGATTGAGTGCAATCCCAATCAAAATTCCAATAGCATATCTCATAGAATTAGCCAAACAACCCTAAAATTCATCTGGAACCAAAAGAGACCTAGAATAGAAAAGGCAACCTTGGGCAACAAAGACAAGACAGAAGGCATCACAATCCCTGACTTGAAATTATACTATTAAGCTACTGTGATAAAAACAGTGTGATACTGGCAAAAAACCCACACAAGACCTGAAGATCAGTGGAACAGATTAGAAGATGCAGAAACAATTCCAGACACACTAAGCCACTTCATCTTTGACAAAGGTGCCAAACACATTCACTGCAAGTAAGACAGCCTCTTTAGTAAATGGTGCTGAAAAAACTGGATCTACATATGCTGAAGATTAAAATTGGACCTATATCTTTTATCATGTATTAAGCTAAAATTAGAATGGATCAAATATCTTTTTTTCCCCTGAGGACACGTTCCACATTTTATTTACATTTTAAGACTAATCTCAAAATCACATATCCATACACCTATTTCCTTTTGTTGACTTCCCCTAAACTTAAATGCATGGTTTACTTAACAAAGACTGTAAGCAAATATTACCATGTCTGTTACATGTAACACACAGAACAGCTTTTGACAGAATTTCATCAACCCCCAACATTTTTTATTATAAATACAGGTATCAAAACAATCCTGAACATATTTTTGATACTACTAGTAGTCAGCACCCACACTGCTTCAAAAATTAACACAATTTGTGACAATAGTCATTGTACCTGCTACTTGAACAATTTCAAACTGCAGCTCTTTCACTAAGCAAGATGGATAAGTATGCCATTTCTGTTTTTCCTTCTTGAGATTTTATTTTTCAGAAACATGTTTCCACTGACATCTGACAATTTTTCCCATGCTTTCATCTTGTAAACCTGAATTCTATTTGGAGTACTCCAGGTTCATGTTTAAATGACAGTGCCTTAACAAGAGAAAGAAAAATTGTGCCACATTTTTCCTCCTGTTACCTGAAAACATAATGGGTGAACATATATTAAATATATTCTTACAAATGTCCAGGTCATGTTTATCAGCTGGAATTCTTTTACTTAATGTGTGGGTATTTTGCATTGTGATATTTAATTAAGACATTAATATGAGTAGAAGGTAGTTGATTTAAGACAAGTTTGAGATCCACTAAAACTAATTGTTGTATCTTTGTCCTTCAGGTGGTTGTGGAAGCTTCATATTTTCTTTGGACATCATTAGACGTCTTAACTTTTGAAGCACAACTTTAATGCTATATGAATTTTGCCATTTTGCTAACACTGGTATGCTGTGTGCATCCACCATTCCACTGGAATTATTTATTCCATTCATATTAATTTTTGTTACAAATCTAACTGATGGAGGAGCTTCTGGGTATTTAGGTCCACATTCTATTTTCAGGCTATACATTCTGTTTTCATAATTTGTCCTTGGTGGCCCAATAATCATGCCTGTCCACCTTGTGTCATATCTTCATCATCTTCAAGGCCTCAGCTAACCATACCATCGCCTACTCCTTTTTGTCCTTCTTCAAGTTCTTCCAACAAGCGAAAATTACGAGGAACTTTAACTCCTGTGGAGACCGCCATCTTCTCCTACCGGATCAAAGATCTTAATAATAAAACAGAAACATTGCTGGGGAGTTAGCTCAGTGGCATAAGCAACTTCCTTGCAAGCGAAAGGTTGTGAGTTTGAGCCCTGGTACAAAAAAACAAAATAAAATAATAAATAAAACAGACACATTAAATCTGCTGGAAGATAAAGTAGGTTAAACTCTTGAAGACATGGATGAAGACAAAGACTTTATGAACAAAACTTTAGTTGCACAGGAACTATCACAAAGAATGAATGACTGGGCTTTCACCCTCTGAAAAGCTATTGCACAGCAAGAGAAACCACCAACAGAGTGAAGAGACAACACACAATATGGGAGAAAATGTTTGACAGCTATTTCTCAGATAAAGAATTACTATTGAGAACACATAAAAATTTTTAAAAAATCAGTCCTCCAAGATTTAAAGATCCAATCCAAAAATGGGTATCTGAGATGAATATATACTTCTTAAACAAATACAAACAGCAAATAAATACACGAAAAAATGTTCAATATCACTGGTCATTCAAGAGATGTGAATTAAAACAACAATGAGATACCACCTCACCCTGGAAAGAATGGTTGTTATCAAGAAATCAAGCAATAACAAATGCTGGACGGGCTATGGGGAATAAGGAGCCCTTCTCCACTATTGGTGGGAGTGTAGGCTGGTGCATCCACTGTGGAAATCAATGTGGTGATTCTTCACAAGACTAGGACCTATTTGACCCAACTATTCCCATTCTAGAGTCTTCCCCAAAGAATTAAAAACATCAGACCACAGTGATATATATGCACACGTACACGCACACATATAGCAGCACAGTTTGTAACAGCAAGATCTTGGAAACAACCTAAATGCCCATCCACCGAGGAATGGATAAAAAAGATTTGGTCTTTTTGTACAATGGAGACTTTTGTACATAAAGAAAGATAAACTGGAGACTTTTATAGGTCTCCAATTTTTGGATGCAACTTGAGACCATACCCATAAGTGAAATAAATCAGACCCACATGTGAAAACATTGTATTGCTTCACTGGTGTGAGAAGCTGAAAGAAACAACATGTGTGTATATGTATATGAATATGTATATGTATATGTATATGTATATGTATATAAAAAGACAGTTAAGGTAGTTATACTGCTGATTTCTCTGAGTTCACTGAAGAGAAAGATTTGTGCTGGTATTGTTCAGACTATTGAATGTAGATGTCTTGTGCTCTGGGTAAATGATTTGGGGATGACATTGCACAGTGTATGTACCATTGTTGCCCCCAGTTGACATGTTTTGAAATTTTGTTGTATTTTTTGTCTTGTCTTTTTTCACTTTGAAATAAAGTGGATTTGAGAAAAATGTTTAAATAAAAATATTTTAAAATCTTTTTAGAAAGGTTAAATAAGTAAATAACAGATATATGAAGTCCTTAAAGTTAACCCTCCTTTTTCGCTTTTGAGACGAGGTCTCACTGTGTATTCTACACTGGTCTTCATTCCTGTGAAGTCCAGGCTGTTCTTTAACTTGTGGCACGCCTTCTTCCTGAGCCTCCCTGGTGCTGGGATTGCAGGTGTGCAAACCAGGCCTGGCTTCAGAGCTAACCTCGTAACGTTGGTGGAAACTCTCCACCGTAAGATCAGGGAAAAGGCAAGGGTGCTTGCTTTGCCACCTCTATTCAACAAACTACCACACGTCATAGAAGGGATGGTCAGACCACAGATACAGGCAGAGGCATCCAGATGGAGAGCAAGAGGTCAGCTTATCTTTCATACATGACACAGTTCCTTATGTGGAAAACACTAAGGGGCTGGGGATGTGGCTTGGCTGTAGAGCACATGCCGAGCCTGCATGAGGCCCTGGGTTCCATTTCCAGAAATGCAAAAATGAAAACTTGTTAAGAGCTGATAAACTAATTCAACAAACTTACAGATCACAAAATCCACTCATAAGTCAGTTGCACTCCTATACACCAACCATGAGCAGTTCAAAAAATTTCATTTACAAGAGCATCAAAAAGAATAACCAACAGTGGTGGTGCATACTGCAGTCTTAGCACTCAGGAGGCCGAAGCAAGATGACGGCTAGCTGAAGGCCAGCTTGGGTAATTTGGCAAAACACTGTTTGAAGATTAGAAAAGCTGAAATGTAGCTCACCATAGTGGGGGGTGCCAATCCTCAGTCCTGAGAAGGTCAAAGGTGACACGAACCTGGATATTAGGTTTAGCCTTACCAGACCACAGCTGCCTCTGTGCTACCCAGGGCCCAGCTCTCTGCCCTGCTGCAGGCAGGATCTGCCTTCCCCCATCTCTGTGCCTCACCACTGTCCCCTCTACCAGGTCAGGTCTCCACTGGAGTCCAGAGCTCCATGCTCCAACCTCTGCCACGTGCTATAGGGTGTCACTGGAGGGAGTGGGGTCGCGGGATGGGAGGGGATTTCCTTCGCCTTACTACCCCGAGAATGCTTGCCTGCATCTCTGGCAGCTCCTGCCTCCAGAAGAGGTGACAGGAATGCCATCTGCTGTCCCCTATGGGACAGGCCCAGGGAAGGACGCTTCTAGCCTCTGTCACCTGCACAACCAGTGTCAGGGCCAGGGAGCTGACCCTGAGGTGGGAACATCAGGGTGGAAGAACACTGCTCACCTCAGGGCCATCAGCCCAGAGGAAGGGGGCAGAACCCCAATGTGGTCATCAGGGCTATGCCCCCTCAGCTGTGTGCTCACCGCTTGTCAGCATGCACGAGGCTGGTGTTCCTGCTATCTGATCACCTCCCAGCACTACTGCGGTGGGCATCAAGCCCATCAAGTGCATGAGTCTTTGGGGGATACTTGGTGTTCAGACCACAGCATTGGGAGGCTGAGCTCAGGAAATTCCCCTGCCCATGTGCACTGTCAAGCTTCCTCAGGGCCTGGTCTGGGAGGAGTCACGGTGTGATTTGGTTTTCAGTGATGGAGAGTTGAACCCAGGGCCTCCCACAGTCTAGGAGAATGCTCTGCCACTGAGCTACATACTGAGTGAGCCATGTTTCAATTTTTTTCCTTTAAAAATGAATCTTTGAATTTTGAGACTGTGTAGCCCAGAATGGCCTCGAACTTGGGATCCTCCCGCCTCCATCTCCCAGGTGCATTGAATTCCAGGATTCCAGGTTGCATTGAAGGGAGAAAATTAAAATTTTAAATAAAAGCCTGCCCAGGATGCCCACCAAGACCAAGGCCTGGTAACAGAGCACTCTTTGTGTAAACCTCTGCCTTTGCTGCGGTTGTGTAACTGATGGACTTACAATGTAACTTAAGATGTAATGGGCATGCTGGGACTGGGAGGACCCAACAAGAAGCCAACTAGCCAGGCTTTCTGGTAAGCTGCACAAGCTTCACGGGTCCCAGGAAGAAGTCAGATAGCGCCTGCTGTGAGCCTACTGGGCACACACTGATGTTCAAACACTCCCCCTGCCCCTCTCCACCGCCACCCCCCTGTAAGCAATGAGCTTATTCAGAGGAGAGGCAGAGTTTATAGCAACTAAGGTCCATAAAGCAACTGAATGCTTGTATTATTTGGTTGATTATCTCTTGGGAGGATGACTGTATGCAATATAGCAAATCTGGGGAATTTCCTTCTATCTTGTCATTGAAGGCCTATATTGTTCTGTTTTGCTTTGTTCTGATTGTTTTGTTTTATTCAGTATTCTATTTTGCTTGGTTTTATTCTGTTTTGTGTTGGGTTTGACTTTGCTATATCTGATGGAATGGACAACTATTGTGAAGATAACAAGATATACTATGTTAGCTATTATTGTTTTTCTAGTGTCCTGCTTTGAAGTTCTGAGCTAGTTTTGCTGCTTTATTTTGACTGGCTTTGTTATGCTTTGTTTTGTTGGGTGCTATTTTTACTATTTTTAAAATAAAATTGAAATGTAACAGTACATTTCTTTTGTACAACCCATGCTTTGAATAGCTAATAGCCTAGTGATAGAATCTGAAAAATTTAAACTACTTTAGCAACCCGTGATGTCACCCAATACTCCAACCATATGTACCAAATCTGCCTATGCACCTCCCTACTAACTTACCCTTAAAAACCCCTGCAATCGCACCAGGCAGGGCTCTGGCTCTTTTGAAGAGATGCTAGTCAGCAGCCTGCCAGTGTAATAAACTGCCTCCTTAACCTCCTCGATGCCATTTCTTCCTGTGTTTAGTTTGTTTTCTACAGCAGCACCAACTTGCCCAGCACCCTTTTTGTTGTTAAGTTTATTGAAAAGCAACTATATCTCTTCTTCCTTCATCATCTGCAGCTCTGCAAGGTCTGTGAGCTGGCCCCTCCTGTGTGTCTATGAATATGGTCGCCCAAGGAAGCTATGGCTTGCCTGTCCTTTTGGGAATCCCCTCCTGGACCTGTAGGAATCAATGGCTCAGGGAACAAGAGGGCTGCTGAGCACCAGTGCTGGGATTAACTGGCCAGGGAGAAAGGAGCCCATGATATCCTTGCAGCTGTCCAGCCATGTGGGGGTCTGAGCTCTGCCAGGCCTGTGGCAATGGCCAGGCCTTCATCCGGTTTTGCTCTTCTCAGTGGTGCTATGGAGTGTTCCAGACCTGCGGCAGGGAGCTACAGGGAGCTAGCGGGCACCCTGCTGGCCATCAGCAGTAGAGGCAGCACACAACAGGGAGAGGGCCAGAGAACGACACAGAGCCAGCTGTCAGGACTGGTGTGACATCTGCTCACTCAGCTTCTCCAGCTACTAAGAAAACCTCAGAGGAGAGCAGCACCAGCCCTCAGGAGTGCACAGAGCTGTGCCATACAGCCTTGGGGACAGAGGGCTCAGCCACATATGGATGTGGGATGTCCAGGGAGCTAACAAAAAGGGCATTTTTGTTTTGTTTTGTTTTGTTTTATGGCACTGGGGATGGAACCTAGTATCCTTGCACTAACCTACATTGCTGCTTTTTAAAAATTTTTTTATTTTGAGGCAGCATCACACTAAAACCCCTAGGCTGAACTTGAACTTGCTGTCT